TAAAGTGAACTAAGTGTAATATTTAATAAAGCGAGCTACGTCGCGCATAATAGATAGTATTATGAGTGAGCCGTGCGCGCGGCGTAGCTGCAAGTCATATTTAGAGATATTAATGAAATTTATTTTGTGCATAGCAGGCGCGGCGTAGCTTCGTGTAATATATATTTAGATTGCATAAGTGTTCAATACTTAGTGCTTAGCAGGCGGAGGACGGCAAGAGGCAGACCGGCTAACGCGAAAGCAGAGTATGCATATGAAGGAGAAGGTGAAGTCAGAGGGGGGGACGTTGATCAGTAGTAGGGGGGACGATATTCTCTAAGGGTAATACAGCGGGGCCTCTCCATTACCTGCGCCAGCTCCGCCTCCAGCGCGCGCTCGCGCGACTCGTCAGAGCGCGCGGCCGCGACGGCCGCGGAAGCCGCCATCGTTGCCTGTGCACATTATATTATTATTATAGGATCGATTATCCAACTTCGTCAAGGAATGGCCCATCCACGAACCCAAAATTTGCACAAACCATATCTTTTACCACAAATAAAAATATACCAAGCGCTCGGCCTCCGCCTCGCGCGCGCGCACGCGCATCAGCTCGAGCTGGCGCTCCCTGTCATCGAGCGCCTTGGCGCGCTCGCGCGACTCGGCGCGTGCGTCGGCAGCACGCTGCTCCTGGTCCCTCAGCTGCGCGCGCAGCTGACGCAGCGCCTCGTCACGGTCGCCGAGTGCGCGCGTCAGCTCGTCGTGATCGGCGCGGCGGACAGACTCCCTTGCGCCCTCGCCGCCACTCACCTCGAGCAGCGCGCGCTCGAGCGTGGCGCGCGCGCGCGTCTCGCGCTCGATCGCGCGCGAGCGCAGGCCGCGCAGCTCCTCCTGCAGGCGGGAGAGCTGCTCGTTCTTCCGGCGCACTGACTGGTGCACCAACCGGTCTGTCGCATCGAGCTTATCCTGGAGCCCGGGTGCGCATGGACGGGACGTGGTAAGGGTGGCGGGAGGAGGGCGGGCGTGGCGCTGCCCGCGCGCAGGAGGCGGGCGGGTCAGTACCCTGAGGCCCTCGAGCCCTGCGTGGTGTGCTGCCCAGCTCGAGGCGACCGCGTCCCGGGCGCCAGCCATTTTTGTCACAGTTCAAATTTTAAAAGTGACCATTCGAATGGGTTTAGTATGACCCACAAACGTCAAGGGCTTTCATGATTTCTGCAGTGGGGGGGGCACTCGGCCATCTTCATCTCGGCTGATAGTAGTCCTGCGTATTACTGCGCCGGCCCAGGCCACTGCCACCGCTGACGAGTGAAATCCTTGCTTCTATAATTTATTCAAAATGACAGGCCACTGCCATCGCTGACGAGTGAAAGCCTAGCTTCTATAATTTATTCAAAATGAATGCAGATCATAAACACAAGTGCTACCAAGTACCGAAAAATGAGCGTATCATTTCTCGATATGTGGCGTGAAAAGACTAATCGAGATCCAGAATTGACATTTGGGTTTTTACCTTAGACAACTCAATTCTTTTTCATTCGTGCAGCCGTAGACTCTGTGGTGCTCCGGTAGCATGAAAATGAAATATAAATATTGAATGATAGCGGCGAAAAAAGTAAAGATGATTCGGCGAAAAAAGTAATTATGATGACAGAGCCAGGGATTGATCCTGGGACCTTCGCATTACAAGTGCGACGCACTGCCACTGTGCTACACTGCCAGACACAGCACTTTCTCATATTTGTTGAGAATTTGAACCCAAACATCGCGTCAGTCACTTCCCGTGTTCTCGCCTCCGCGCTCGATCGGCGCGCGCGCTCTCCTAGATGTCATCACGCATGGCCCGTTTCACACGCCTGCTCCTTGGCGGCACAGGCGCCGCCGCACTAGTCGGTGCCGCCAGCAGCTCGCTCGGCGGCAGCCGGTTCGTCTCCCTGCAGGCCGCTGGCTCGGGCGCAGTCAGTATGTCGGCGACGGCCGTGTCCAACCCGCTCCTCGACACGCACTTCTTCCCGCGCTTCGCGGACGTGCGCGCCGAGCACGTCGAGCCCGCGATCGCCAGCGCGCTCGAGGACGCCGTCGCGCGCCTCGCGCGCCTCGAGGCGCAGGTGGAGGCGGAGTTGGGCGCTGGGCGCACGCCCGGGTACGGGCTGCTCGCCGACGGACTCGAGCTGCTGGACGAGGTGCAAGTTGCTGCTCGCGGACATTTAGGGC